GTTCAACTGCAACAAGCAAACCCCGTCCATATCCGAGCCCTGGACCTCAGGGCCACCGTTACCTCGTGCCTCGTGAGCCAGCCCCATGCCTCTGATGCATTTTTCTCTCATTCTCAGCACCACCTGGTACAGTGAGTTTTTCAGGTATCCAGTGCCACACAACAAACCAGCCCAAAGCCTAATAACTTAAAATGACCATTTAGTCTTGTGATTCCGTGGGTTGATTGGGCAGTTCTTCAGGTCCAGTGACTATGCAGCTGAAAGCTCAGTTGGGGGACTCAGTTCTTCGGCAGTAATGTCTCTTTCTTGGTCTCCAGGGCTTTTCCACATGGCATTCTCTGCAGTAAAATAGCCTGGACTCCGTTAAAGCACAGCAGCTGGGTTCCAAGAGGAGGGAGTTCTGAGAGGACACGCCTCCAAAGTGCAAGCACCTATGACGTGCCCTGCTTGCCTCGTGCTCACTAATTTCCTATTGGCCAAAGCATAGCCAAGCCCACGATCAATATGACAAGGGCATGAATATCATGTGATCTATTGGGGACCACCAAATGAAACAGTCTGCAGAGTAGGGACTATTAATTCCTTTTGTAGGGGAGGGTACTAAAGCTCAGAGAAGGTTAATCCCCTTGCCCAGTCAGTCCACATGGCTGGGGACAGAGGGCCCAGGTCTGTTGACTCCAGAAAATATGTCCTTTGTGATATACTGGTTTTAACATGATACGGGTGTACAATAGGAGGGGCAGGCACCAGGAGCCTTGTGTAAATGATAGCTGAACTTCCAGCCGCTGTAACCCGGAGGGCAGCCCAGCAGATTCCCTGACCTGCCTGGCGAGTGTTCTCCCTGATGCTTCCGTCCAGCAGATCGGAGCCATGGGGCTGGCGGTGTGAGGCCACAGGCAGCATTTGGAGGCATTGAAAACATGCTCCAGGCCCCAGTCCCCATGTTTAGTCTGGTGTTGTGGCCCCTTTTACTTACCGGCCATGTTCTTCCTTTACCTTACTTCCAGAATAGCTTTACAGCACTGGTTGGCTTGTCCTTATTCACTCTGTTTGGAATTCCTTCCCACTTGAAAAATGAAATATGTTTCGCCTGAGATGAGGAGCCCTCCTGCAGCTTCTTGCAGCTTCTGTGCTCCCCCTAGTCCAAGCACCTACCTCCCTGGGCCACAAACACCTGGCACTTCTCTGTCTCTCAGCCCTTCTCCGTGGTGATCTCTTTAGGACAAGCCTTTAGGGCCCACCTCTGGCTCCCTGCACCCACACCCACCAGTGGTTGGACTTCACTGAAAGGTGTTTCTCCTGGGGGACTACCCCAGGTCTTAGCACAATGCCCAGGTTTTTTCTGCAGCCCCCAAAGACTTTAGCCAACTTGTGATGGGTGTTCTGCCCTGGGCTGGGAAATAAGGGGGCACTGAGTCAGGCAAGTCCATGCTCCAGTCCAAAATCTTTCCCTCACTAGCAGGGTGACACTGAGAAAGTCACTTAACTTCTCTGAGCTCACCTACCCTGTATATCCAGCTCAGAGAAGGGGAGGCTCTTCTGTCCAACTCACTAGGGTCCACAGGAAGGTGAGGTGGCAAAAGTGCCTCTTTTGGACACCGACAGAGTCTCTGTGTCAAGGATCCTTCTCTGTAAGTGGTCTGGTTTGTGGGGCTCTGAGAACGATTCCCTGCACCCAAAGAGCCTCCCGCTCCCTGTATTCATCAGTCTATCACGATGCCTGAAATTCTGCATCAGTCATTCTTTTGATAAGGTATTTTTATTTGTATCTACATGATCCCTGTTAAAAGTTGCCAAATGATCTGGGAAGGTGCCGTGCTAGCCCAGGAGCAAAGCCTGATTTACCATTAGTGAACGTGTCTTTCACGCTCATTTTCTGATGTTGGTGTTAGAAAGTAAACAGGTGTGAGCTTTCTGGAGCTCAAGTTGGCAGTGCTTGTGAAAAGCCTTAAAATTATGTACAGGCTGTAACACAACAGTTCTTCCTCAGGAAATTTATTCTAAGGAGACGATTTGGGTTTTGAACTGTATATACAAGGAAGTCTTACTTCTAGTAGCACAAAGTTATAAATAACCTAAGTGTCTAAGAATAGGTAGCAGGCCAAATAATGGTATGTATGTACAGTGAAGTACTACAGGGAGCAGCTTCGTGGGCCTGAATCACACAGGGCCCCAGGCTCAGAAGGGCCCCTTGCTTGGTTTGATGTTCTGCCGTCACCATTTTAAAATTCTTTTTTTAAATAAATTTTATTTTATTTTTAAGTTTTTTTCTTTTTAAGATTAAAAAAATCTTCTTTTCTTTATTTATTTATCGTTAGAAGGGAAGGGAAGGGAAGGAGAGAGGGAGAGAAATATCAATGTATGGTTGCCTCTCCTGCATCCCTCACTGGGGACTGGCCTGCAACCCAGGCATGTGCCCTCACTGGGAATCAAACCACGGTCCTTTTGTTTGCAGGCCCGCGCTCAATCCACTGAGCTACACCAGCCAGGGACCATCTTAAAATTCTTAATCGTGTTTTAAAAAGAAGCCCGTCATTTTCATTTTGTGCCAAGCTCCACAAATGATGTCGCCATTTCCAGAATATTATGTAACAATTAAAATAATGTTAATGAAGAATATTTGTTGAAGTGAAAGAAACTAGGGTACAAAACCATAAATGATGTAATCCTAATTTTTTGAAAGCAAATATATATGTATATCAATAGGGAAAAAGACCAGACAGAAGTACACGAACATGTTAGAGCAGTTATCTCTGAAGAAGCAAGATTGCAGGTATTCTTTTAATGACTGGGCTGTCTTCGGAGCATTTCTTGTGTTTCACAGTACAGAGGGTGTCAGTGTGCTCATTGACCCTCATGTGTCCAGTAGAGGCAGAAGCGTGCGTATCGTAGCCGAGAAGCAACGATTCTCTCCTGGCCTCCGATTGAGTCTGGAGCCCTCGGTGCAGAGATTTCTGGATAAACACATGAAGAGAAGTTCAGTTAATGACGAAGCCACATGTTCTTGGGAGCTCCTTGAAGTTGAGAGATGTCTGATTTCTCAGTCCCCTCTTTCCTTCACAGGCCTGGGATGGACAAGGCACCCAGCAAGTGGGCATCTTGTGTTGCGGCTTGAGACCATTCGTGGTCGTTACCCATGACACACCTCATCAGACATTAACTTCATTATGTTCCCACTTGGATGTGGGACCTTCTCTCTGGCATGAGGCTGGATATGTATTCCGAGTGAGCTCTGCAGGAAGAACTGCTGTCCCTACCCCAAGTCTTGGTGTGCCCCATCTCCCTCAGGGAACAGGCTCCAGGAGCAGAAGTGAATTTATCCCTGTGCAAAGCTGGGGGACACTGCTGGCTCCACCTATCCGCCTTGTGCTTGTGTGCAGGTGTCATCCCAACAGCAGAGGGCAGTAGTGATCAGCAAACCCAGAAGGGACAGGGCTGGGAGGCAGGGAAGGTGGTCGTCCTATGGAGAGTGGCTGCTCACCACACATAACCATTTTTCTAGATTTCTCCTTCTCTCCCAAATCCTGACTCAGCTGGGCAAAGCCGGGAACACAAGAATCCTAGAACCTTACCTCTGTAAAGCCAGGACCTCTGAGTCAATGGCCTCTGAGAGCCTCATGTGACCAATGGGGACACGGGGACTCAGAGAAGGGACTTGCCCAGAGTCACACAGTGAACAGGGGCAAACAGTTCTAACTGCTGCAGCGGGGAAGCGGGCCCGTGTGGAAGGAGGCAGGTGACTGCGCACAGGAGCGATGCCCACTGTACCCGCACACAGGTCCCAGTCTAGACCGTGAGCCCTGCACTGTCTCACCTCGAAACTCCAACGCTCTGAGCCCCGTGTTTCTGGTGGGCCCTCTGCTGCTCCAGCAAGCCTGGGAGGTCTCCCACTGGCACAGGCTGGGCCTCCTCCTATCAGCTGCCTTCCCTTCAGCACGCCCAGCACCTGGCAGGGCAGCCATTGCTTGGGAAGATGTGAGGGCCCAAGGGTGGTGGGTGGGGGTGGGTGGTAGCAAGCACTCACAGGGCAAGGGGTTGACTCCTGGAACCTTCCCGAGGACCTTCCTGAGCACATCCCTGATGTCTTGTCCTGTGCCTTCATCTCATGGTGGTCCCCCGGTAACCCCCCACACCAACCCCTCCTCTCCTCTGCTTCAGCTCCATTCTTCTGTCCTTCAATAAGGCCCAGCCCTGGTGTCTCCTCAGCCCAGAGCCTCTCCCTCCATGATTCTCATCTGGATTCCTGCCACCTTAGTCTGTAACAGGTGACCCTGGGCCACCTAGGGAAGCAGTGAGTTCAGTGGGAAGGGGGACTTCAGAGCCCCACAGGTCTGTGTTCTGACTTGGCTCTGCCATTGACCATCTGGATGGACTTGGACTTGGCGAGCCTCTTAACCTGATCTGTAAAATGGAGGTGCAAATCTGTGCTCCCTTTAAAGGGATCGGGAGGATCTAGAGAGGACACAGGGAGCGCCTGGAAGAGCCGCCATTCCTCCCTGCAGTCAGCTATTAGTATCTGAGGGCATTCTCAGTAAGATGGGCAGCTCTTTGAGGTCAGGAGTGGGGACTTTTTGGTGTCCCAAGACCTTGCAAATGAATAAATGAATTCTGGAGACAGGGAAGTCTGTGAACCGACCTCTCACCAGCAAGATGCAGGACAGCAGCCCTCACCAGCCCGCACCCATGCCCACCGGCCCTCAGAAGCCTCTGCTCCTTCCCAGCCCCACTCAGCCTTTGCACTGACGGTCCACCCCAATGACATTTTCTCCCCAACTTACCCTTTTCAGTGAAATTTATTAAAGTTTTTGTAATTTTAAAACTGATTTACATATTTTAATAAAAGCACATGATGGACAGGGGACATGAGGCTACAAATTTTCTGTACTGAAATTGATTGGACTATGGAGGTTGGGGCTGCCCCTTCTCCAGCCTCCAGGGGCTGCACACTCAAGAGTCACATACACTGTGTTTTTTTTTTGTTTTTGTTTTTTGATTGGCAGACCACGGTGAGCTGGGACGGGGACAAGCTCGAGTGTGTGCAGAAGGGTGAGAAGGAGGGACGAGGCTGGACCCAGTGGATTGAGGGTGACGAGCTGCACCTGGTAGGTTCCTGGGGTGGGGCTGGGGCAGGCCAGGCGGGGCCCTAGGGGTCCCCACTGCGGTCTGAATGGACCTTGGACGAATGCCCCATGGCTGGGCCTTGGTTGTGCTCTGAAGCTTCTCTTCCAAGGGCCTGGAGAAGATGCTTGAGTGTGTGAGTTTTCTGGGTCTAGGCTGACCCACCTGTCCGATCTGAGGGAGGAGGTGAGGGGGAACGGCTGATGGTAGAGCCAAGCCCTTCTGCATCCCTGTCTGTTTCCGTTTTCTCGGCATCTCTACGGGCCAGGTGCCGTTATGGCTCCTGTTTTCAAGATCAGGGTGTGGAGGCTCACATCCCAGTTATACAGCTAGAAAGTGGCAGAACTGAACTTACTCCCAAATGGTGCCTATTTTCACCATGGCAGAGTGTGGCAGACAAGAGCCTAGGAGAATTCTCTAAGCTTTTCTAAGACATGATCTCAACCATCTAGGTTGGGGGAAGAGAAGCCTTCTCAGCTCAGGTGTGGGCCCCACTCATCCAATTCTCCAGCCTGGACCTCTGGTCAAAGCCACTTCTGCCCCGTGAATTGTCTGGGAAAAGCGCGCACAAACCCAGGGCAGGGGCCTTAGTGCCTGTAGGGTTAAATCACACATGTCCTCTGAAAGGAGCTCTCTCCGCACTTTTTCTGTCCCCTTGGAACTCCCGGACTATTTTCCTTTCTAAGAAAGTAGCCTGGTCCGGGTGACCTGGGTTCTAGTCCTGACTCTCTGGGTGCCTTTGAGTAGGCACCTTCCTTGCCTCAGCCTCACCTGCAAAATGCCACCCACCACATAGAGTGCTGCAAAGATCAGTGTCTGCAGGAGCTCTGGGACATGGAGGTCTGGGCCAAGAGGCATAAGGGCTTTATATTCAGAGGCTGTAGTGCTTGACCTTGAGTGTCTCCTCCCTGGGCTTTACTTCCTTGGCTGCAGAGAAACGAGTGTAGATTATGTGATCTCCACTGGCCTTCTCAGCTCAGCAGTTCTGTGGCTCTGACAGAGGCTGCAAACTGGGGGCCACAAGCCTGTCTTATTTGGCCATCAGTGGGCTTCGAACTTCTTCACCCAGTGATTTAAAACTTAGGAGATGTCACATAAATATTCTGATTTCTAGCTTCCTTCAAAAAAAACCAACACAAAAACAAACAAAATAACCTTAGAAGGCTTGGCGACATTGGGCTGTCGTTCTCACTGGCCGATATCAGCAGGGGCTGCCCTGTAGGCAGGGCGTGGGCTTTCTTGGCTATATTTTAAAACTACCTGGGAGCCTTCAAAAATAGCAACTCCAGTACTTCAACCAATGAGATGCTGGTATAACTGGCCTCGCCTGGGCCCAGGCATTTATCAAGCCCCCCCAACATGCAACCGAAACATGGAACCACCGTGCTAGTTTGCCACTCTAGTCTGAGTCCTTTGTGGGTGGGGGGATGGTCAAGCCTTGTGTCTGGACCTGGTTTCTTCCCAGGCTGGACACAGACTCTGGCCTGGGGTTAGGCCTGAGGTTCTTGGAGTCTTGTGGCCCCTTGGGGAGGCAGTGGGAACATCAGAGGGCCAGTCCTGTTGACCAGTGTATGGTTCCCAACCAGCTCAATTTACAGGCAATAGCCTGACCTCCACCGATCCAGTTCAACCAACTTTCCAAGCAATAGGTTTGTTTGGACCAACTCTTGGGAAAAAGAGCAGGTGCTGAGTATTTTCAAAGCTGCTGTCCCTAGATGTACTGAGCCCCAAGCGTGACCCTGCTCTGGCCGATGACAAGCATCTGTTTTTGTTTCAGGAGATGAGAGTGCAGGGTGTGGTCTGCAAGCAAGTGTTCAAGAAGGTGCACTGAAGCCTGGGTCGGGCTTGGTCTAGAGGAATGAGTGGCACGGACGTGTGGGCCAGGATCCCACTCTTTGCACAGCATGGGGCAGAAACGTCCAGCCACCTCCAGGTATCTGTTAGCATTCTGTCTCTTGGCTTTATCTCTTTTCCCTTTCTTAAAACAAAACCAACCCAATAAAAGTGATCTCTACTCAAGACGTCTGTTTTGGAGAAGCTTCGTCACCCCACTGTGCTTATCTTTTCTCTGAGGCTTCTGAAGTTGGCTACTTCTGATGCTACCCCTGAACAGATGGGAGGAATCCGGCCACACGCCTGAAGATCTAGTCATGGTGTTGCACTGTGTGATCTTTCCCCGGGGCACTGGCTTCGGTCTGAGGTGTGTGGCCTGGCATTTAGTCATCTAGGCACCTACCACATGACGTGTCCAGTCAGGGCCAAAGTGCAGTGAGTGCCACTGACGCCGGAGAAGATGTTCTCCGGCCTGGGAACTTTGAGTCTAGATAAGGGGATCCAACCAACAGAGGTCTCCGACTCTGCATCACACGTCAGAGATGCTCTAAAAACTGCTTGTGAATGAAATGGAGCTGGATAGCAGAGGGGAAACAGCTAGAACGAGGTGGACCTTAACCAGAGGCAATTACCGATTGGATTTTGTTTCAGAGGTGTCATGAACCAACCCCAAACCACTCCTCATCTGTGGACTGATATAAAACTTTCCTCTGTTCACTGTTATATTTTAAAATTTTTTAAAATTTATTAGGGTGATATTGGTTAATCAACTTATATAGGTTTCAGGTGTACAGTTCTATCATACATCATCTGTACACTGTATTCTGTGTTCACCACCCAAAGTCAAGTCTCCTTCTATCACCATTTATCCCCATTTTACCCTCATCTACCTTCCCCACCTGCCCCCGTCAGTGTTATAGCTGAGACATGCAGATTCCCCTGGAAGAGGGAGAGCAACCCCATGCTCACACTGAAGTGTAATGAGCGCTAGCTGTGCCTTTGTATAAAGGAACACAAGGCAACTGAAGGGCCAGTGAGCAGGTGGGAGACCATGGACAGGGGAAGACACTGGGAGGGGGAAGGCTTCCATCGAGGCCCCCTCAACGTCAAGTCTGCCCAGGCTGTGCTCTACCCCTTGGCATGAGTACTGGGTTAGACGTCAGATGAGCAGAGTTCAAACCCCAAGTCCACCACTTACAGGGCCACACCACACCCCTGTGGACCTCATTTCTCCAGTCAGCAAACCATGGTAAAGATCCACCTCACCTCCCACACAGGGGGGTTGTACAGCTTGTAATGCATATGAAACTTGTAGACTTCCAAGCACCAGGTCAGGGGCTCTCAGACCTGGCTAAACATTAGAAACCCCCGGGGAGTTTTCAACATTCCCTGTACCAAGCCACTCCCAGAACCAGTGACATCAGAACATCACAGGGCGAGACCCAGGCATCAGCATTTGTTTAAAGCTCCCCAGGTGATTCCAATATGGCATTGGAGTTGAGAGTTCCTGCCTTAGGCTAGTGTTTCTAACCCGAGGGTAGTCCAGCCTCTTCCCAGGATACCTGGCAATGTCGGGAGTCATTTAATTGAACAACTTGGGTGGGGGGGCCTCTGCCCACTAGATGCCAATAGTATTCCCCACCCCAGCTGTTCAGCAGAGGCCAGGGATACTGCCAACATCCTGCAATGCACAGGGCAGCCCCCCACAACAACTTTCCCAGCCCAATCAATATGTCACAGCGATAGCGTTGAGAAGCCCTGCCATAGGCAAATGTAAGAAATGTGCAATGTTTTTCATTACTCAGGCACTTCCCTAGCTGAGATCAAGGAAATAAAAACTCAGGACCACCTAAGATTTGGGAGACCCCTTTACCTTTGTGGCCCTGGGCTCTGTCCCTGAGTATAGAGAACTCAAAGACAAAGATTCTCGTGCAAAGACAAAGGCCATTCATGCATGCGTGCATGCATTACGCAGTGTTTAATGGTGACTTACTATGTGCCTGGCACTGAGCTAGTGCCACACCTGTTGGGCATTCAGGAGTCCCCTTCCATCCCAGGCATTGAGACCCTCAGCAGGCCACCCTGACACCCTCCTCAACAGTTAGGTCCTGAGGGAGGACCCAACAGTGTGGCTCTGTTAGTGCCACTGTGCACGTGATGTGGGAAGCCCAGCTCCACCCTTGGGAGCCTCTTGTCCCAGGAGGAGACTCAGCTCCATTCTCATGAAGTAGCTCAAATAGCAGGACCCATTTTAGTGGGAGTGGGAGCCATAGAAAGTTTCTGAGCAGGAGAGTGGCATAGCCAGCATTTCAGCAAAACCAGTATGGCAGCCGTTCTCTGGTGAGAAGAGAAAAGAGCAGAGAGTACCAGCTGGAGCTTAGCACCGGGCAGTCACATTTAATTCAAAATTCACTTCATACGAGACTGATCTTCCCAAAGAAGTATATGTAAGGTGGGAGGGATGTTTCTTACTGTGTCTAAATCTAAAAGCACAGAGGCAGGCTTATGGCTTTAAAGCGGGTTTCTGATTGCTCAGCGTTTTGCAGGGGTCCTGCTGCTGAATTTGGCAGCGGAACGAGTCAGCTCTTCCAGCCTTCTCGGTGGCATTTGAGCCCTCTCACCCACGTCCAAAGTGATCACTTTTGGACACTACTGCAGGCTCCACCACTTACCTGTCACTTGGATGCCATTGTTGCAGGATATAAAAAGAGATTTTCTGTTACAACAAGAGGGCCTGATAGCATAGCGGGGCGCTAGTGACGGACTCGCTGAATTTCCAAAGCTTGGCCACGTACGGCAATGCCCGCAGGCCCGACCTGACCCCTTCATCTGGTGCCACAGGCTGTGAAAACTGTCACTGCACCTCACAGGTCCCTGGGCCTGGCCACTTGGAAAGGCTTTTGAGTTTGGGGTTCTTTTTTTTTACTGAAGAGTTATAGTATCTCAAAACACATTCTATGTGAGAACTTATTAATATACTTACATCACCTAACTTCAAGTTTTCAAGAACTGGGACCTCCGTGTGCTGCACTCAAATAGGACCTGGGGGCCGTGGCAGGTCCCACTGAGCAGGACAAGTGGCTGAGCGCCCAGGCTCCGGGGCCAGGTGGCCTGGGTTCAAATCTCAGCTCTGCTACTTCTCAGCTCTGTGGGATTAAGGCAGGTCATGCATCCCCGTGCCTCAGTTTACCCATCTGTAGATTGGGGCTAATAATTTCTCACAGACTTTGTGAGGATTAAATGAATCTAATGCATGTAAGCAATTTAGAATAGATGCATGGTACATTTTATTTGCAAAGAGATTTGAACAATGCCAGGCATGTAACAAGCCAATTTACATGTGAGTTTAAACACACAAACACCTGAGAGGCCCTTCAGGGATGGAATCAACTTGACTTCATGATGCAGGTGACAGGAGAGCAGGAGGAGTTGAAGCCCAAGGGCAGCAGGGAAGCGTCTAACAGAAATGAGGATGGGTGGCTGGTAGCCTCTGTGGCGGAGGCGGGGGCTGGAGTGAGGCCTCTCTGATCTCCCATTGTAAGTTCTCTGCCACCCATGGCCCCCAGCACACACAGGATACGGACTGGGACCCTGGAGTCTCTGATGCACAGACGCGGTGACCCTCCATTCCAGGGCTGGTTGGAGGACAGACCTCAGACCTTAAGTCCCCAAGCCCCCAGCACCATCGTTCTCTGGGCTACCTCCAAAACCTTCCTACAAGAAAATCCTGACAAGGCAAATCCGGAGGACCTCTCTGGAAGCCCTAATTTATAACCTCTGACTTGATTAATTAGGACGCCACTGCTGTTCCTTTCAGGTGCAAATTAAACAGCTTTAACACTGCCCTGCAATTAAAGCCTGCTTAATGCACCCTGGCCAGCTGATGGGGCTCAATTTGTCGGGCATCATCCCACAAGCCAAAAGGTCACCAGTTCAATTCTGGACCTGGTCGGGGCGCACGCAGATGTTTCTCTCCCTCTCCTTCTCCGTCCCTTCCCCTCTCTCTAAAATCAACAATGACAGGAGCGATCCCCCCATGCCACTCACCCCCACTCCCACTGAGTTCCCAGGGGCTTCACCAACTCAGTCCCAGCTTCCTGTCCCACCCTGAGCCAGGAACTTGCGCATCACCCAGGTCACAGGAATGGGCTTTCTTCTCAGGGAGAGTTGGGACAAGGACAGGATGACTTTGTAAAGCCCTTTGGGAAAAGGACTTGATTCACTCTGGGAAGATTGCTTACCACTGATGACATCCCCATTTCCCCTCAAATAATCAAAACCCTACCAATCCTTCAGAGATGGTCTCGGGGTGCTCTTCCTGCCACTACAGCCCACGAACTCCCCTTCTTTGCATGCCGCTCCTCTCAAGGCGGATCCTGGAGTTTCCCCTCTTTGAGATGTCCCCGATGAAGGAGTACCAGATTGGAATGGCAGGACTTGTGGTTTATTTTAAATGGTTGCATGTAACAAACAGTTTAGCACACAAACACACTATAGTAGAATTATGTGGTGCTACTTCCAAGATTATTACAGGATTTAGAATATTTATGAATTTAGAGTATATCTGAAGCAGCCTTGTCCAATCACGTCACGTTACAGTTTAAAGCTGGAGAATGAACTTCACTGGGTCCCGTTACTGCCTCTCTGTGGTCTTCACTCGTCACTTCATTTGGTGATAATGTCAAATGTTGGAAAGCCCCTCACAAAGGTGATGTCCAGGCCAAGCAGGTTCTCTCTTTGACACCACAGACCCCCTTTGGAGTCCCTGTTTGAACTCCTAACTCTCAGTCTTACCATTGTCTCGGACAGTCCTACTGAACGTTTGTCACACTTGTGGCTGTCTGTCATCTTGTGAACAACTCTCCCATGTTTGGGGGGAGTTTCCTTCACTAGGAATTCCCTGTCTCCGAGGTGTTAATAGAGAGGAAACTAACTTTCCCAGCCTACTTGCATTGGGGCTCCTGGTAGGAGGCTGAGGTTCTTTCCCTCAGTTAAATGCACCTGAGGTTCTTTCCCTCAGTTAAATGCACCTGAGGGAAGAGATTTGGACAGAGAACCATGTGAGGAAGGTGGGTCATTGGAAATGGTGGCAGCCGAGGGACTGGCTTTGGGACGGCTCCAGCGGCCGACCTTTGGCTCCCAGAACCCAGGGTCGCGGGTGTTACCTGCTGGCAGCGGATGCGGAA